CAATCAAGTTGTCTGGGAATCACCACAAACACTCCTCCCTTGTCACTGACAGACAACCTTATAGCTCGAGACTTTATTAGATCTCGGATCTCCTTAATACCACACGCTTGCTCCCGTGAATTATGGGATGGAGTGTTTTGCTTACTGCACCCACTCAGCACCTTAAAAACACCGTCGGCGAAAATCCCAAAATTGGCATCAGATTCAGTATGTGGTTCCTATTGTTTGAAAATCGTGGCTGGAAAGGGAGTGTTGAGCACAATTCTTACTTGCTCTGCCACCAAGGAGTCGCCGCTGCCACACCTGACCCTATAACGGTCGATCTTGAAGCTCGTGTGCGAGCGGGGCCTGAAAATGGGCCCAAGTTTTTTTCGTTTTCACACTCCATTTCCACGGTTGTCATGCGGAAAGTAATGTGCAGTCTACAGAGTTTCATTGCTGTTTAGCAAGCTTGCTCCCTGGAGTCTCATCACTGCTTTCCAGGGTCAGTGCTGAGTCCTCACCATCATGGCTATAGCCACTCTGGAACAGGAACTGAGGTGGCCTACTCTCAGCCGTTCAGACATGCAGACGTGCCGTCGAACTATTAGTTTTATGTGTATGTGTATGTGTATGTGTATGGGTATGTGTGTATGTGTATATGTGATGCTTATATAAATTTTACAGTAACTAAAAAATGAAGGCTCCAACGCGAACCCCATAGAGCAGAAGAAAACCCAGGCGAGAAGTTTAGGACCATACAAGCCGACGTCTGATGGTTATGACGAAAGCATGTGGCAGGACGACACGGCGCCTTCCCTTTGGTTGGCGTATATTTCCCATACGAGTTCTAGCCCTTAATCCAGAACGCGATGACCTAGACGGAAAGTCCCGGGGCTTGCTTTGCTCAACTTAACGCGTGAAGAACGAATTCAACAGCGACTTCGGGGGACTCGAGCAAGGGGGCCGCCATTCTTCAAGTTCCTCGTAACGTAGGATAGAAGTTTCAAAGTAACAAAGTATAACGAAGTAAAAGTGAAGTAAGATAGGGTTTTTGAACCTACATATGTAGGCGGTCGGAATTTGTATAACATTGAGGCCTTTGCACACCAATTCATACTTTGCGACTGCCACGCTGAATCCGAACGGGTGGCCACGTGATCGCAATCAGAGCCTCCACTGTATGCAATGCTTCCAGGACGTATACATATCTTGCGTGAGTACCTAAGCTTTCTCAGTAGTATCTGATTGACGGTTCGTAGCAAAGCTTGACATTTCGATTCGGACGTTTTTGATAGAAATGATATGGTTATACTCGCTCTAACGCTTATCCCAGCTCTAACAATCTTCGTTGCCTACCCGCCAACATCAAGCTGCGAAGAAGTGGAGCTGGAAGTGTTTCATATGAAACTGGAGAGGCTCCACAGAGAAGACTGCTCCACAGCGAGTCTCACGGGATGAAAAAGCAGGATGAAAGGCTATCCGAGTTTACCATGTCGACGGTGTTTCGCAGTTCCAGAAGACCTCTCATTTGCGATGGGTTTGGAAGTCCCTGGTGGACGGAACCATATTGAAATAGATCACATCACCTTCAATAGAATCTTTTGCTTGACACGTCGTTATTGTTCGGAATTTCTGCACGTGACCAGATCATCGCCTCCCTCGCGCTGAATTCTGTTTTTCAGTGCGTGGAAGTTCAGGAGACGAAGCCCCAAAACTATTGTGAACTGGATCCCTTCGCTTCGCTTGCGAGGATTGAAATGAGTTAAAAAACAAAAGGAATACCGCGGATAGGCTGCCTACACTCTGAAATTGTCTTTCATTCTGACGATTAGTGCGTGGCGCTTGAGGGCTCTTAAACTTCTCTTTCAGAAACACCCGGGGTATTTTACAGATTATGCGCAAAAAGTGTGCATTCTTACTGTATTAGCTTTAGATGTAGTTTTTCGAAATTTATGTCCTCTTAGAAGAGGTCGCCGACATATAGAAAACTCTTCCGTCTCAGCTATACCTAAAATCCCAGAGAGTAGGTTGTTTCTGATTTTTGCCCTGTGAGTATAACGCCAACCCCAGCAAAAGTAATGGAGGAGGTGATTATAGATAGACTGATAGTGCCAATAGATAGCTTTCGAATGATACAGAAAGAACAGAATTTCTTGGTAGGTCATCTATACTATAGAACTTGCTACATTGCGTGTGTAGGACTCGTGCTTTATCTTTGGATGTCGTTTTTGCTCATTATATCCAAACGTCACTTCTTTAGCAGTGAAAACTATCCCTTCCCGATATTCTGACTCGCAATTTGCCAGGCGGTATCCGTGCTGTTACCAACTTACCCGAACATCCGAATGACAACGGGGATGAGCGCACTAGGGTGCGGGGTCTTTTCCCCGAACAGCGCGTCACACTCGTCACACCTGCCGCGTACCGCAGAAGTGCGAAGGAAGACTGGAGCGCGCGATTTATGAGTTAGGGAATCCTTTAATTGTTCGCAGTTACTGTCCTTTCGTTCTTTCTTCATTCCCGGAGCGGTCCCGATTCTTGATAACGAAATAAGGAGCGAGTCATTGCATGTTTGTTGGTTATCATGTTTATTTATGCCTCCAGCTACCGTTTAGGCTCAAAAACGACCAGTCAAAAAAGCAAAGCAGTAAGTACAAAAAAATAGTGTCCTATCGATTGGCGGGGAGGCGGGCTGAGTATGGCATTTGCAGTTTGAAGCCGTGATAAAGCAAAAAAGATTTGCCGCAAGCGGCAAAGCGAACGTGGAAATCGGGGAAAAGTTCCGCCATCCGAGCACATCATGGCAACCAACGAGCCTTTCTCGTGCACAATAGTGATGCCATCTCTTACCCTTGTCAACAAAAAGAATATTCCTCATCCGACGCAAATTTGGCAAAGATCCACTTCATTTTCCACGAACCTCACAACTTGCACCCATTTATATTCATATCGCACTGAAACTTTCACAAATGAAAGATCCTAAGTTGAGTTTGTCACTCGAAGTGGGATTGGTATAGGTATTAGAACTTATTCTGAAATTGCGTTCCAAATTTGAATGGTGTTCGATTCTCTAAACGGAGTAATGGTGATGATTTAGGGCAGGTGGGTAATTTTATCTTTAACGAGCACAAAAGATATGGGCTTTAGGATTGTGATCGGTTCCGCGCGTCCGTCGAAACTACGTCACGTCACAGACGTCGCACGCGGCGCGTCGGCGCGAGATTCTTGACGAACGTCGCAGTTGTCAGTGTGGCATAAAGGAGGAGTCCAGTCGGCTTCGAGAGAAGACAAGTAGTGCAAAACACTTGTTACACTGACACTTTGTGGTACTGCAATGTCATCCTGAGATCGCAGTGGACTGTGTTGAGCGCTAAGTGAACGAAATGGTCTAGTTTCGACGAACGCGCGGGAGGGTGTATGTCGTTTGGCACGGCCCCTCCCATCGCGACACCCATTCGACGCGGCTTGCGTGCTGAACAACTCGCCCAAGTGGTTCAACCTATATGCCATACTAGTCGGTGCAAATAGACAGAATACAAGTAAGTCCGCAATCCGGCGTCTGATAGTTGTGGCGTAATAAATCAGCTGGATGGGCAGTTAGTTGGCCTATTAGCATGTTCAGGATGGTGAGTTGCATGGACGAATCGTCCAGCTCAGACACCGCGTCCAGTGGGCAGCGCTATGCGGGGGGTGGGAGGGGGACGAACGGCCCCTCTTAGCGCGGAAAGTACGTTGCCCGGGCATGGTTCATATATGTGAGACCATGGATGGGATTCTGTGTGAGACGAGCTTTCCCATTCTGTGATCCTTTTTCTGGGAGAGAACAGCACCGTCACAAACTCTTTATTCTCTCATACACTCTACAGACAACAGTGAAATAACTTGTGTATTTTTGAACAGATGTGATAATCAGGCTCAGAATATTCAAAACGAAGTATTTTTTATTTCAAGGAACGACGAATAAAAAAATCCGTCGCAGCCCCTTTACGATCACCCGCTAGACTATATTAAAATCGAATTCTTAGTATCACCCGGATGAGTGCTGTAGTAATCGGCGGCATGCCATGAATGAGAGAGAAATGATAGGGTGAGGGAGAAGAAGAAACTTGAACGAAACATATGGATGCGTGAGACAACATGCTTACCACTTCTGCGTTCGTTCGAGCATATTCGAATCCAAAACCACTTTCATGCCTCCGTTCACAGAACAATTTAGCCGATTTGGAACGCAGATTCAATATAAGCACCCAAAAATACGCCTAGCAATTTAAGTCTCATTCGAAATGGCTACTCCGATTTAGGATAGTTCCCTTAGCAATCCGACTAACTCCTACCGCTTAAGACACTTCTTATAAAATTCTGAAAATGACTCGTGAGTCACGGTCACCATCTACGCCCACATAACGGTCATATCTTCCCGTTATCAGTTTCATACCAAATCCGAAATTGCCAGAACAACGTTCCTTTGTATTACTAGAGAAAGGGGAGAGAATCGAAATTTAAAAATGTCAAGAAAAGGTGGAAGAGGGTTCCATCCATTGTGGGCGGACCACAATTTTCATTGGGCTTCCTCGCGAATGTTGTTTATTCGCGGCAGTCACGATCGACTTTTACCTCTCAAATTTTTATTTCTACTGCTGGGCTCCTCCAAGAGGGCCCTCTATACCACCACTCTATGGAAACGCTTTGATGTCAACTCTACGGAAAAGCTGTAATGTCAACAATGAAGAAAAAGGGAAATTATGCAAGATAGTTCAATAAAGTCTGCCGTAAAAAAGTCAAGAAAATATTTAGTTGGTACAGTACTCCAGCTCTATGGATGTCCCGCATAAAGATTCAATGAAAAGATTTCCGCAAAAAAAAAGAAGTTGGGGATGACACTTTGCAAAATCATTCCCATCGGAGGCTAAGCAAAGAATCGAAATTTCTGCAGATTCTCGAAGAAAATTTGTTGGCCCTTAAGGCAACAGAAGCTAATACTTTATTCGTTCTTTAAAAAAACGATGATCGGAAGTATGTCATGTGTCGTCCTCGCATGGTTTGAAAGACCGACGTAGCAACTCATACACAGAATTTGTAATACCCCAAGCTAGCAGTGAACGAGTGAAGTTTAGATGAACCTGTAATAATTCAGAGATGCACCAAAACGAACTTTTAAATTTAAGGACAAGGAAAGATCTTTCCAAAAGTGGATCCATCTTACCCCAAGGTACAGCATCCTTAATGACTTCTGGCGTTTCCGCCAAACTAGATGGAAGACATAGAAAGGGTTCTCAAAGGTTACACCAACCTGTAAGGGACGGTAGCTCACTGCCATTTATATTGCTAGAATTGATACATATACCTTGCTCTGCATATGGTTCTTAACGACGTTTAAAGGGAAAAACACAGTTGAAATAGATGCGCCTAACACTGCACCGGACACGAAATCAGCAACCAATTGAATGAACATTCGGTTCCGCAAAGGCCTGATTTCTACAACCTAGAATCGAAAAATAAGCATAAAGTGCATATGACGATTCACAGTGAATTGAATTACACAACCGTTTTTTTAAATGGTTCCTTGAGCGTGAAAAAAAGTGCGTTCGACAGACTATTCCTAGCAAGCACTACAGAAAGTCCTCGGTAATACTCGCGATATCCGTGCACCTGAAAAACACAGTTCTCGTAGCAATTTTGTTCAACAAATCAGTAGACATCTGTTGAGCAGTTGTATTCGGATTGACTAGGAGACACATGTACACTTCAGAAGAGGTAGTGCGTGTACCCTAATTCGTGTCGCAGGGATCGCCGGGTGGATAAGAGAGTAGACTCATGTCTGCACTAAGAAGAGTGCACGATTCCTTGTTCGTGTTCGATTCCTTCCGAGGCAAATCTATGCCATGCTAGGACGTCACCCGTAAGTGGCGCGAGGTTATCTGAATGGGGCCCGTCGGCAGTGAAAGGAGGGGAGCTTGGCAGTCTGCAGCACCTTTTCTGCGAAAAGGAAGACTCGGAAGGTAACCTACAACAAAGGATGGAAAGAAACTGAATTAGACCATGTGCTCGTGAGAACTCGTCCCTCAAAACTGTAAAGGACATCAAAGTACTGTCTGGCGAAAAATTGGCTAGGCGGCACAGGCTGATATAACCATAGACCTTCACAAGAAATTGAGGATTAGAACGGAACGGAGGATACGATGGTGGTGGCTGCATCGAGCCGGAAGGGAAGAAATCAAACGGATGATATTGGAAGCTGGTTTCCCGGATCCCGAAGGACAGATTTAGCAGAAGTGTAGCAACACTTTGAGAGTCATCCTACGGTGTGCGAAGGAAACGCTGGGAGAGAATTGAGGTGAATTCCTAGAAGATAAAGAAGCATTGTTCTGGAACGATGATGACCAGCAAGTTGTGATACAAAAGAAAGCGGCCAACAAGCCGTTGCAGAAGACGCGTGTTTCAGAAGACCAAGATGCCTACAGAACTTCCAAGAGGCTTATCAAAGCTGCCATAGCGGAAGCAAAGAATACCGAAATGGACGCCTTGTAGTAGGAACTCGATGGTCGAGAAAGAGAGAAGTTTGTCTTCCGACTAGCGAAAACGCGGGCCCGGGCTACTCAAGACATCGGGATAGTGAAGTCCGTTGAGAACACGCAGGGTGCAGTCCTGAGGAAGCCTGGTGAGGTCAGGCTCAGGTGGAATGAATACTTCGACAAGCTCCCAAAAGTAGAATATTTACTACCGTGAAAACAGCCCCCAAACGTAAGTCACGGCTGGTCCCCTGCGGACATAGGATGACGTGCATAGGGCTATTGGAAAGACGAAGGCTGGAAAAGCAATTGGTTCGGATGGAGTCCCCATCGAGGCATGGAAGGCACTTGAAGAGCACGAGTAAGGTGGATAAGCTAGTCCACCCGATTTCTGAAACCTGTGATCACTGAAGGAAGAATCTCAATTGACTGGAGGGGCAGCACTGTCGTCCATATATTCAAGCAGAAGGGGACGCGACGGAATGTTCCTATTACAGGGGGATCAGGCTGACTGCTCACACAATGAAAGTGTATGGCGAATAGTCGACTTAAGATTGAGGGAACTTGTCCAGATCTCACGAGGGCAGTTTGGCTTCATGCCAGAAGCCAGCGGATGCTACCTTCACAGCCAGACAAGTAATAGAGAAGAATCAAGAAAAGCGTATGCCCTGCTATGTAGCCTTCTCGATCTGAAGAAGGGTTCGAGCGTCCTCCGCGACAGTTCCTTTTGAGAGCGCTTCGAGAGCGAAACGTTCCAGAACATCTGAGATCCGGACGAGTTCCCTCAATCTCAAGTCGACTCACTGCCGTACACTTTCATTGTGTGAGCAGTCAGCCTGATCCCCTGTAATAGGGTCAAAGAGGTATACGATGGGTCTACGACAGCAATACGCACACCGCACGGCCTGATCGAAGCAGGTTCACGGTTGGGGCACAGCAGGGATCAGCTCTAATCCCGTTCCTCTTCATACTGACACTGATGTCATCACAAACGGACTCCTGGATGGACCAATAAGAGGCCTCCTTTACGCTGATGACATCGCTCTGATTGCTGAGAGCAGAGCTTCAGGACACGCTGCAGAAATGGCACAAAGTGTGGCGGATAATGGGCTCAGGCTGAACGTGAAGAAGACTAAGTTCCTCATCTCCGAGGAAAACATAGAATCAATCGCAAACGGTTTCGGGGGATCATCGAAAGGGTACAGGACTTCCAATACCTGGGGAGTGATCTAGCCGCTAATGGTAGCGTGGACCAGGCTGCAAAATCCCGAACAAAGGCGGCATGGATGAAGTGGAGGGAGTCTACCGGTATCCGCTGCGACCGTCGGTGCCCTAGGACGCTCAAAGGAAAGGTGAGGAGAGTGGTAAGGTCCGATGATCTACCGGAGCGAGTGTTGACCCGTAAGTAAGAATTAGAAAGACAGCTCCACTCCGTTGAAAAGGGAAGTTCAGATGGACCTGTGGCTGGACGCGGCCGGACCGGATCAAAAATGAAGACGTCAGAACGGTTATATAAGTAGCCCCTGTACAGTTAAAGACTAGATACCAGCGCCTGCGATGGTACGGACACTGTGAACAAGAAGGACCAACGAAGCTAAAGTGATAGCAGAAGATGCCGTAGATAGAAGAAAGCGGAGACGACTAACAACCTGCGACCAGCGGACACTGCGGCGGTGCGGGATTAACGCTAGGGAGAAGAAGAAGAAGAAGTGGACGAGCTGAATACAGATATGTGGGAAAAGAAGGTTTCCATCAAAACCTTTGTAAGAGGAGTGCTTAGACCTGACAAAGTTTCGAAAGTAGTTTCGGAAGTGATTCCGGTGAGCTCTCAAATATACATTTCAACAATTTCCGTGCTCGTGAATTTTATGGTTCATGGAGAATTCAGCTCATCACATCCAATCCAAGTCACATATTCGGTTTCACAGCCCGAGGTTCTTGCCATGGCGCTTTTGTATTCCATTACCTGTGCTTAATTCCTTGTTAAATATTACCATCCCCATAGCTAGTAAACTCAACTGCAGTTATAGGTCCCGAAAACCAAAAACGATCAAAGTTATCAAAAACGTAGTTATTCAAATTTTCCGTCATCCCAGATTAAACTTTGCTGGAAAAATCCTTGGAACTGAAAGGGCGTCACTGACGGGGAAAAGCAAAACAGCGCAAGTCAGATACATGTACTTGGACGTGATTCTACAGAGCGAGGAATGAGGAACAGGAACTCCCCGATACTGGAGATCCTCAAAACGTATACCACGATGAAGCGAAAATCAAGTGTCACAGTAAAACGTAGTACTTATATGAGAGGCAACACTGTTACGAATATTCGGGTGCATTCGCAAATCATTTTAGGCAGAAACCACTGCGCCTGCTCATATTGCTCATATCAAAGGGTTACTGAAGTGTTGAAGCAACAGAACTCATTTGATGGGGGTGCTAATCATTGAGATTTTACTGATCGCGGTAGAGGTCGTGTGGGCACTCGTTAAAATTTTCGGGATCGTGGTGGGTCAGGAGGAGCAGGGAGAGAGGATAAAATATATATACATATATATATATATGTACAGTAGTGCACAAGCCTTCGGCCAAACGCTCCTACGCTTTTTCGTTCAAAACTTTTTTCTTAGTGGAGCAAATCGTACAAAATTTCGATGTTACCAACACTATTTGAATGCAAAGCAGCAATATCCACATAACTAGAGCGCGGTGTTCTTTGCGGTAGCAGACTTCACTAAAAGCAAAGTGATTAAGTCTGCAGTTACTCGCACCTTACGTGCGTTTTCCTTCTCCACTGTGTTCGGCATTAGCGCTCGTACACTTTAGACATGGCAAAAAGGAAAAGAATTCTAGAAGGACCATCATCCATATTTACAGTCAATTTTGAAATAATGCTCTTCTATGTACTATGTGGAGCATGATCAGATTGCAGCTTAATAGTGGTAAATATTCACAATACACCCATGCAACAAATATCGAAATTTCGCATGATCAGATCCAGTGAGAAAGGAGTCACTACTGAAAAGTGTGACCGAAGAAGCACTCGGCCGAAGACTTTTGAGCGCTACTGTGCACCAGTTGGATCGCCCGGCCGACGCCGAGCTCGTCTCATTTTCTGTTAAAATAAACCCACCGCCTGCTTCCCTTTCGCATTTGGCGCTCGGTACATGAGAGTAGTAGTGATTGATTTCCTACCAAACACACACAACCACTCCTGCATCCTGCACACTTCGCGCGCGCCAGGCCCGCCATGAAAGATGTCCTGCTCAAGACCTCAAACTTTGGGTAAAACGGCTCATTCCCCATTTACTGCAGCTTTTTCCTCTCCAACACCTTTCGCTCATGCTACGCGCTCGCTGGAGCTTTCCTCTCTTCCAATTAAATGATACTTGTCGTATGAGAAATCTGACACGGAACCTGGAGGGCAGTGGAAAATAGTATACAATGCGTTTCTGTGCATATGCCCATGAGTAGAAATCTTAATCTGCATCTTAAAAATAATCACCCAATAAAAATCTAACTGTTAGGCAACCAAGGCCTTGGCACTCACAAATGCTGTCATGTGGTTATAATACCAGTGTCAGATTTTTTATCAATATAACTCTTTTTCTCCAATGATATATCATCAGAAGAACCCAGATTATTGGTGGTGCGATGCATTGTAAAGATTGATATGAGAACAAAGAGGAACCTTGATTCTTCATTGAGTCACCAACCCTGCTGGGTAGCAATCATAATCTAATAGCAATAGATGAACCAAGTTTTCATTTCTTCATAACAGAGTACCTTTAATCGGTCCCTATCATTGCACTTACTACTTACCCCTTTGTCAACCTACTTCACCATTCCGCCTCATCAAATGAAACATACTGAAGAGTCAGAGCTACATCTTCAATTCCAAACTGGTCTTTCCGACGAGGTTTTATTTGGTAGATGGCACTTACTTCCCGGGTCTCCTTATCGGCTCCTATCAGTTGTGCTGAGACACCCACGACCTACGGTCACAACATCACCTATTGAAATGATAAGGTTTCACGGCCAAAACGAAGTGGGTTACAGAGCTGGCGGTTCTCGCCTACTACGGCTCGTTATCAATCCGTAACAGTTGTTATCAATTCACCGAATATCTACGGTTCCTCCTTAACCCACCCTCCCTACTAACGTCCACCGTCAAAATGAAGGCTCTTGGCCTTTAAGGATCCCTAGCAGCTCAACCTTCTAAGGCTCCTTATCAGCTCCGATAGGTCTTTATCACTTCCTACTACCTATAATCAGTGTTCGGATCCTGCACTTTTACCAAATTTGAACGCTCCAAAACTAAATTGACAACTTTTGTTGCTTGCCCCGCTCCCTGTGGGCGGGGTGCTGCCTTGCAGCCTATCGTCAGATCAGTGTTTCCAATTTCCCGCCCTAAACTCCTACCAAGTTTGAACACTCCAGGTCGGAATTGACAATTCTTGCTCACGCCCCGTCAACTATGAACGGACTCTAGCCCTACCAATTATAACACTGTTCCCATTCTGCCACCTGCCAAGAAAATTTGAACGCTCTAGGTACAAATTGCCAGTCTTTTCGCACATTCCTGCCCTTGTAGGCGGGATCTGATCCTGCCACCAACCATTAGTGTTCCCATACTGCCGCCTGAAAAAAATCTTGAAAATTTGTTACTTTTGTCTCTTTTCTGAAGGTTTGAGACTTTTTTGTAGATATCTCAAAAGCGAACCAGCTTGAGGATTAGAGACATGCACCATCACCATTCTCTGCTCGACGCCAACTTTCACGCAGCTTGTCGATTCCACCCTCCCGGGAAAACGGGGCTGCGCTTCGAAGAAGTCGTCGAGCGGCTGCTTTCATAGTCCGCGATTTCGGGGGAAGTGGAAAGGGGGGGGGGAGCGCTTGCCTCTTGCCTTACAACTGAATTTTGGCCGATACTGCCGGACGAGTAGTCCCCCTGTCGCGCGCTTGCGGGCCAAATCGCGGACTATGGAAGCAGCCAGTGCCTTTCTGACCTCTTCCACTGTGTCAAACTTGTGAAAATTGTGCGGCATAAAGGAAGGTGATATGGGAGACAGATCCGAACATCTTCACACTAATTTGCACTTGCATAGAGCAGAAAACAGGCACAGTAGCACGCACGCGTTACATACTAATCATACATCACCGTCGCATACTTCACCATCATTTCTCTCACCATACGCACTATAACACAACTCTTCCAACTCTTATACATACCTTTAAATTTTGCCTAAAAGTGTAACAATAAGATGTTAAAGACCAGGTGCCGGTATCATACCAAACAGTAAGAGACTGGTGATACTGATGTAGAAGGCTTGGCGATCAATGGAGTGCAGCACAACTTACTCTTAAAGCACGTAGAATCTGGCCCGTGTTCTTGAAGCGATCGTGATATGCCGAAGTTTGAAGAAGTACTTGAACTCTTTCAAGAGGACACAGAGCAGCTTCGCAAATTCCAGCTGCAAAGCTATTGAATAGTAGACACTCAATTTGGAGGAAGCAACAAAATGAAAAAATTCGGAGAGCATGCTCACAAGCAGTGCTATCAACTCATGATTTATCTCACCAACGACTTCATTATAAGAAAAAAACCAAAGAAGAAAACCCTACCGAGAAATGCTGCTTGAGCGTGACAAAGACTGAACGATGTGTTTGGTGGAGAATGAGGGCAGGCTAGGAGCGACTAAACGGAATGCACCATTGAAATCACTTTCAAGGAAAGAACCGGAACTACATATTCGTCCCTTGAGAAAAGTTTGGAATCAACTATAACGTTGCAAGCATACAGTTTTGCGTTATGAATTCCTGGACATATGTACGCCCCTATAGCTAAAGCTCCTGGAAGTTTCGGAAGAGTTTTTGTTCTTCTGCAAGCTCTATGCACAATGAAAACTTTGCCGCAAGCTTCAAACCATCAACATCCTTTACATTTTATGTTACTTAACTCCTGTATCGTCAAATGCCATTTCCCTTTTTTTCATCTTTTTAAATTTCACTACTATTTCGCGCATCAAAAGTATCGCTTCCCATGTACAGAAATGTTCATTAATATTTCTACGTCCATTATCAAAAGTGTATTCAATAGCCGTTACTAAGCATTACTAACTTTATTGTGTAAAAATTTGATTTAGTACAAGGGCAGGTAGCCCAGAAAGTAACTGAACAATGTTTTCTTTGAACGGTTTTAAAGAATAAGAAACATGCAGAAATTACAAATGAAGGAACTCAAGCCAAAGTTTCCACTTGAAATGAAGCTCATACTGCTAGACTTATTTCCGGGCTCTAATTCCGATCATGCACTCCAAATTTGCGAAACGATCCGATCGAAAGAGTTATGAAGGTGATGAGGTGAGAGGTTAACATAAACAAACACTCGAGGCATGGAAGCAACAGCGCTCACAGCGGCGATTTGGAGCACTGGTATGACGCTTCACGTGTACGAGATCGCGTTTTGTGAAGCATGTGGTTTCTGCATTTTGCGCTGCGTCTTTCAGTCTGGTTCCTACCTAACCCGTACAAAACCACTACTAACTCATTGCCTACCTATGTACATCGTCTTCTCTGTGCGATCTCTGGAAGAAATACACACACTGTAAGTTTTAGCCTCAAGAGGGCTTGGTAACAGTGGAAAGGGTCGTGTGGTCCGTTTCGGCTAGAAGTTATGTCCTGCCTTTTCGGGTTCCTTTTGGCCACTTATTGTCAAGTTAGAATCTCTTGGTATTGATTCAGCCTTTTCTAGAAATATTCTGTATGACTCTACGTTCGTAGACCTAGCTTTGATAAAAAAAAAACTACTGGCGAAATGTTGAAAGAGGAACTCTTCTGTGCATGAAATTTGTAGGTTCAAGCGGCTGAAACGTATGAGCATGCACTTTAAATGAAAGTGGCAGTCATCATAAACAGTGTTAGTAGAACAAGAAATGACCTCAAATAAACTCAGTGATGCGTGCGACTCCGTGTTACATCAAAGACATGCAAGTTTTCAACTGACCTTTGAGAGGGAAAGAGCGCCGCGATGTCCAGGTTTTCTTTCTTTTTTTCTTTCTTTTCGCACGGAGTAACCATCCCACCTACCCTCGTGCTCCTACTCTAACTAGGCTCTCCTACTCCAAACAAACTACATTTTCTAGGTTAAAACCGAATATAGGCGATGCGCATGCTCGGTGCCCATCCTCCTCCTCGTCTCTAATGCAGTGCCAATGTGTATAACAAGGATTAACACGTAACAATGAGTTTATTTCTTGATATACTAACCTTGTGATGGGTTCCCCCTTTTCTAAATGTCATGTAGTTACTAAGGGTGCCTTAACAAAATTCGTCTGTCTGCTGCCGTAGTGAGCGGTCGCGTTTTTCAATCAATACCGCAAACGACTCCCCACCTACCTGGCGTCCAAAGGAACATATTAAGGAAGCGGAAATCGGCTTTCTCTCCTGAGTTATCGGCTACTACTATTCCTGCTACACTCGATACTGATGCTTCTAACTTGCTAAAGCAACCTCAAGAAGGAACATTAGCACCAACTTCAGAGTCAGATATCTTAGAGTTGAGCCAGGTCCCAGAAATGAATACAATATCGGGACGGTGAAGGGCAAGAAAGTGGGGGGGGGGGGATGATGCAACTTATTCATCAGGCTGCGCGCATTGAGTAGAGCACAACAACATTGAGACTGATTACAATTACTCACTTTTTTTATTGCTGTTGCTTAATGTTGGGAATATCTGAGGACTTAACGATAATCCCTCGATAATCAACAAAAACTCTGTTCCCGTTATGCTCCTCTATGTTGAGCTCATGGGCTCGTTTTCGTAATTCGCGATCTTTTGACCTCTCATCAGGCGACATCGATTTTCTGACATACACACGGCAAAATCTTTCCGATGAACGCAACTTTTTAGCACGAGAAAGTGTGGTAAACAAGAACTTTTTTGAAGCAAAAACACATTTGATTAACTTCCCCATTCTACAAATTTCAACTGGCCTGGCCTCAATATCAAGTTCGTCGACGATATCCATGACGGCCTTTTCTGTATGCTCTTGGCGAAGAGAAGCAGCGATGTCGCTTCCAGCTTTGGGAACTCCGTAGATTACCATGGACCTCTCCTTCTTCTCGGTCTCAACAACATCCAAAGAAATAGACTGCAACTTACCAACAAACATTTCTAATAGAGGAAGGATCTCAGGCGCTTCCACTTGGATGGACGTAAACGCAGTTCTCCTTCGATTATTTTGAAAGCAAGAACGAAGTCGGCTTGCACTTTCCTGTAGAGGAGAGACTTCAGATTTAGTTCTTCCAAGCGAATTTTATAAGCGGTCAAACTGCACGCGTAATTAGGATCGGGGAAAGTGCGATAGTGAAGGATTCTAGTGAACGTCTTTTGAACACTTTCAATATTACTAATATCTCTCTTCAGAAAAGGGCTGCAGACCGGGCCACAAAACTCGACCAGGGACAGTACAAACGTCTTAAACAATCTAATCCAAACAAACAAGTCCAAACAGTGAATACTTCTAAAGAGACAATGAAGAACTCGCATGGCTTTGCTTTCAACATTATCAATTAGGAATTTCCATTTAAGGCCTTTACAGAAAAATGCACCTAGGTCTTTCACTAGATCACACGAAGTCAGGAGCCCGAACTGATCGCAATTAACGCAAAGCGAATTTTCTGTAAGCGAAAATAAGTGACCCTTGGAAAAATTTACACTCAAATTCCATTGTCTAGTCCATTCCATCATCCTCTTAAGAGAGGCGTTCAAGGCAACTTGAACAGAATCCCTATCTTGTGCGGTGTATACGGCACAAATGTCGTCCGCATACGCCGCCCCTTTAATACTAGGATGAGTTCTTAGGCAAGAAAGGTCACTTGTATAAACGAGGAGCAGGAAAGGGTACAGAGTCCCACCTTGCGGGACCCCTGATGAGCAATTCCTGGACTGTGAAATGGAATTTGATAAACGTATAACCATTTTTCCATCGCAAAGATAGGATTTGAACCGGTCTAACAGTCTTCCTCTAACTCCAACGCTATCAAGTTTCCTCAACAGACTGGAATGGCCTACCGTATCAAAGGCTTTTGTGAGGTCATAATAAATAACGTCAACATTATGCTTGGAATTTAGAGCGGAGATCCGGTCATAAGTGCAATCAATCAAATGAGTGCAGGTAGATGCTCCTGGAATAAACCCATGTTGCTCAAGGGGTACGAGATTTCTAGCGGTGAGCCATGATAACAGATGCTCTTTGATAAATTTCTCTAGAACTTTGATCGGAGTCGGGGCAATACTTATAGGGGGAACATAGAGACCCTCTCGGCACCGCTCACCTTGGGTATAGGTGTGACGTACGCTAGCTTCCATTTTGCGGGAACTTCCCCCAGCAACCAAGAAATGTTGAAAATATGCGTTAGAAGACCGGCGAGCTGGTGGTAAAAAGTCTTAAACAAGAACTGCGGTATATCATCAGACGTAAGCGAAAGGGAAAGCTTGAGTGACCGGAGCTGTTTTTCAACCACATAAGGTGTAATGGATAAGGTTGGTACAGAATCCGGCACATTGGAATCGCAAAAGCTCCGTCATCCTCACCCTGCCTAAAAACTGAGAAGTAACTAGCAAATGCCTCGGCTTTAGATCTTCATCAGAACATTTAACACAATCCACACTCAAGATTATTGGGTTGGATGGAATGTGCTTTGTAAACTTCTTCACGGACATGAGTCGTTTTAAATGCTTATCTACTTTGTATGTACGTACGTATGTATGTATGTATGTATGTATGTATGTATGTA